ATATTTTACAAGTAAGTCTGTCACCTGGCTCCAACACATCTGTAGCGGGTTTTTTTTTTTTCTTGTCTCCAGAGGAATGTTCGAAATACTCCTCAAAACATTCAGTGTTTGATACCAGCCTGGAGCAAAGCAAGGAAGTTAGCAAAAAGTGATAAGTAGTTGTTTTTAATACAAAAAAGCTTCTGCTCGAGCAAACCAAAATACAGATTCAGACACTGGATAATCAGCAGGTTCGTGAGAAGATTTCTGTCGGGTCTGGAAAGGCTCTCAGCTACTTTTGCCATAAACTTCCAGAACTTGGCTGTAGTTATACTCCAAAATAAAAATATACTGAAATTAGGTATGTTTCTTCTTCCACGCATTTTGGAAGCCAAGGAATTACTTCTGATACGCTAGCAAATCCTGCTAATAAGTTAGAACCAAGATGCAAAGAGCAGCCAGGTCAAATCCTTAAGTCACTCGGTAGGAAACCCAGATATGTGCTTGTTTTAGCTCAGAATTACACGGAGACCTCATACGGTCCTTGCTAATGAAATGAGAGGAAGCAGTAGTGTCTATTCCCAGTGTAACAGCAGGGAAACCAGATTGCAAGGTTCTTCTACTAATATGAGTTACTATAATGTTTCAGGAGCTTTGCACTGTTGCAATAATTGCAGATTTAACGGGCTTTTTCATCCTTCTCACCTTCAAATCCTCTCTCCCTCACAACAGCTTAGTGCTGCCATCTACTTTTTTTTTTATCCTAACAAAGTTCCTAGCAGACTTACTCACCCACTGGCACAGCAGTGGCTCATCTGAGTCTCTACGCTTTGGGCTCAAAATTTGTAATTAGTTGCCACAGGTATAGTTAAAAGGAGAGACAGTGACATACAGGATTGGATCCAAAGACATGTAAGTACCTGCTTTTTTATTGTAGATTTACATTTGAGCCCTCAAAGATGAGCAAAGATGGAAAAAAAAAAAAAACACTTTACTCCCAGCTCTTAACCGTAAGATCTCTTTTACAGCCCTCACTGGTATTGAGGTAGTAAACCCAGAGATGACAAGGTGACAAAGACATAGGACTTATCAAATCTTTAGTACAGTTCTGGAAAGCAAATCTCTAGCTAAAATATTTTATTCAAAGTTTCAGTCCCACAGGGTTAATAAAATTCTTTTACAAGTCGTTTATTTGCACAGACACTAATACAGCTGGAAAAATATTTCCTGGCCAAAGTATCTATCATCCGAATAAAGAGGTTGAAAAACATTCAGACATTTTACTAGGAGACTGCCTGCTGCTGATCAGGCAGGAGCTAGCCTTGATTAATTCTCCACCTCGCTTTCTCACTGCGCACATTTATTTTTAGGGTGTGAGCACTTGTTTCCACGCAGTTCCCCAACAACCATTTGCGGAGGGTCTGAGCTCCGTTTTGGAGAGAGAGAAGAGCTCCCCAGAGCCCAGCCCTGCCCCCACCTTCCCCAGTGGGGGAAACAGTCACGCATGGAGGGGGACCACAACACCTTCTGTCCTCCACCACCAACTCTGCACAGAGCATCTATCCACAGTGAGGAACCCTCCTCCAAGCGGTGCGCTCCAGACAACTATGCTGCTGGCATGTACTTTGGCTTCCCCTCCTTCCTACCAAGACCTCCCCCAACTTCTGTGGGTTAGAACTAGATCCTTAAAGAAGTCAAAGCCTCTATTTGCATCTCATTGGAGGCATTCGTAGGTCTGTACGTGCTCCAGTGAGGTGCAGGGTGTAGGTCAGAACACCTTGGAGAACAGAAGTCAACTACGCTTCCTTGTAATCCACCCTCATGACATCAGCCCCTTCCACAACGGAAGCTCCGAGTTATTCCCATCTCTTTCCAAAGGGTCCCCTGCACAGCACAGCGCCCGCACCGCCAGTCCCCAACTGCGCTCAGGACGGGTGTCCAGGGAGTAACTCACATTCCGTGCGCTGCCCGAGGTCACAAATCTGAACCAGGGCGGCCTGACCTTCAGCACAGACACAATGCCAGGCACCCGGAGAAGGGATGAGATGAGACATTTCCAGCAGCAGATTTTCTCCTTTCTACGCAAGCTTTCTTTCATAAAGGCAAACGGATGGCAGAGAAACAAAAAATGCAAACAAAGTACAGTTCTTAAAAATAAAAATTCTCTTCCTAGCTGTCATTCTTGGGTTGTGCGTGATATCGTGCCTTAGCATTAACTGCTGCCAAATGCAAGACGTCAGGTCCATCTGGCAGATGTACACTTCCCTGGCTGCCAAATGTTTCCTTAAGATGCAGGGGCTTTACTCTCGGGTGTATTTGCAAATTTCAGCCTGCTAAGCGAGTAGTGCTCCCGACCAGAAGCCTTTCCTTCTGCGAGCCCGCAAGGAGGGGAGCAGAGCTGCGAGGCAGCTATCTGCCGCACTTGCTTGCTATGGAGTCCAATTTCTTGGTTACCAATGGCTATACCAGCTGCCAGAGATCCTTAAAGGATTCCTTTTTCTCCAGACTATCCTCAAGTCCAATCTAAAACGATTTCGGAAACAAACAGAGGGGAAACCCAACTAGTCAAGCTGACATCAGTGCTTATTTACATATAAATGTAGCCAGCAAATAAGCATATGTATTTATATATAAACAAAAAAGCTTTATGCACAACGTTTCAGACGCTGCTTTTTCTCCCAATATTTATTACTTTAAAGCGTCACTTCAGAAAAACTTTCTCCCCAAGAAATTGGTGATAAAATGCCCTCTGGTGGGCGTGACTGTGGACCTCTACAGCAACAAACACCTCCTAAATAGTTCAGGGACCTCAGCATATTCCTGGGATTACTATTTTTAATGGAGTGAGACAAAGCACAGACTCGCTTTCCGGAAAAACAGATACACTGGTGACTAGCGAGCCCGGTTTTTTACTGCTAAATACCTAGCTCATACGCACTCTAGGTTCCTAACCCAGAGAAGTAAAAAAATAATAATAATAATTAAAAAAAGATATTCATGATTCCTAAAATTAGTATTTAATGTTCACTTTGCCTGTGGAGGATACTTTTTCCCAACACTAAAATAAGTAATTAAAGAAAGTGAAAAGGAAAGTTAAGGTATGCTGAGGCAAAAGAAAAATTTAAAAGAATATCTGCAGAGTAGACTGGAGAAAGGAAGAGGGAAAAGAATAGCATTTTTACAGCTTATGTATCGTGCTTGTCCTGTCAGAGTACAGGGCTCAGCTAGGAAGGAGGAATTGTACAGACAAAAATATAACAGCCTTTGCCCCAGAAGAATTTACTGTCTAAACAGAAAGGACAAGGAAGGAAAACCCTTGAACAATAAATTGAACCTAACAACATGCATTGCATCATTAAAATGCTCAATAGTTTTGGGTGGTACTTCCAGATAGCCTGGGACAAAATAAATTGAAAGAAAGGAACTGGAGACTTAGGATATACTGACTGAAGAGGGAACAGTGACAATTTGGGGACAGAGTGCCTGCATAGCTACACTGAAGACATTAAAAAAAAAAAATAAATAAAGGAAGACTGCTGGGACAAAATGCCTAATCTGGAGCTGCAGAGCCACCAGGCAGATGCAACTAAAAAGCCTGACTGCTCTAAAATGGCCAGCACAAATTGCAGTTAGAAACAGAACAGC